CCGTAGTGATACTGCCTCGGAAACCCAAGGAGGGGTCGCTATGAGTCGGGGCCGACTCGACGGCACATAACAACAACAACAACAAACAACAACAAAATACCAAACTCACTGCTGTCAAGTTGGTTCTGACTCATAGCAACTCCTCCTTGTGTTTTCAAGTTGTATCTCTACAGAAGTAGAGTGCCCAGTCCACCTCCCGATGAGTGGCTGGTGGGATTGAACTGCCAGCCTCTGGTTAGCAGTCACATATCTTAGGCACTATGCTATGAGAGCTCCCAAATGCTCACTAATGCCTAAGATACTGACTTTATGCATTCCATTTCATTTTTGACAATTTCCAATTTTCCTAGATTCATACTTTGTACATTCCTTGTTCTGATTATTAATGATTATTAATGCCTATTATTAAACAGTTTGCAGCTGTTTCTTCTCATCTTGAGTTGTGTCACATCAGCAAATGGAGGTTCCAAAAGCTTTACTCTTTCCACATCATTAAGGGCAGCTCTACTCTGAGGAGGCAGCTCTTCCCCAGTCATATTTTGAGTTCCTTCCAACCTGAGGGGCTCATCTTCCTGCACTATATCAGACAATATTTCAGGACTATTCAAAAAGTTTCCCAGTGATATACCAGACAGCGTTTCACTGCTGTTCATAAGGTTTTCACTGGCCAATTTTTTAAAAAGTGGATTGCCTCTTTTTTCTTCCAAGTCTGTCTTATTCTGTAAGCTTCGCTGAAACCCCAAATCCACCACAGCAGCTCACTTCCTTCCTGGCCTCTCTCATCCTCTCCAAACCTGCCCCACCAGCTAGCTCACTTCCTTCCTGGCTCCCTCATCTACTGCAAACCCGCTACATGGGCTCACTTCCTTCCTGGCCTCCCTCAGCCGCTCCAAACCTGCCGTGCTTTTTCAGTCCAGTCTTGCATAGTGTTAGTCAGTTTATTCTTATTCCCTAATAGGTGACAAATAGGATCTGAGGTCAGTGAATTTTCATCATTTGTCATTACTCTTTATGCTTTGACATTTCCAGTCAATCATTAAAAAACATCTAACGGCAACTTCTATTTGATTCTTTGTTCTGGAAGGTGTAGTAGCACCCTAGCTTATTGTGGTGCATAGAATTGTTTTTGGAAAGTTTAAATTAGATACATAAAGTCTAGTATTTACTTTATATGGGATACAACCCAGCAACACAGCACACTGCTGTGAAGTCGGATCTGACTCATAGAAACCTTCCTTGGGTTTCTCAGGTGATATCACTACAGAAGTAGATTGCTCAACCTTCTTTCCTAGCCGTGCCTGGTAGGTTTGAACTGGCAGCCTTCTGGTTAGCTGTCAAATGCCTTAGGCACTGGAAAATACCAAGCCCACAGCCATTGAGTTGATTGTGACTCATAGCAACTCCCATAGGGTTTCCAAAGCTGTAAATCTTTGTGGAAGGACACTGCCTCCTCTCTCTTCCATGGAGCAGCTGGTGGATTTGAACCACTGAGTATTTGGTTAGCAGCCCAATGCTATAACCACAGCACCACCAAAAAAAAAAAAAAAAAATCTGTCATTGAGATAATTCCTATTCATAATGATTCCCATTGGCTATAAATCTTTATAGAAGCAGATCATTTCATCTTTCTTTCACCTAGCAGCTAGTGGGTTTGAACCACCAACTTTGTAGTCAGTAGCTGTGTTAGACTGGGTTCTCTAGAGAAACAAAACCAATAAAGCTTATATAGAGAGAGAAAGGGAAATTTATCTTAGGAAAATGGCTCACACACATATAGAAGCTGGCAAGTCCAAAGTTCTTGGATCAAATGTCAAGCTGGAGGCTTTTCCCAACTCACGTGGCTGCAGGGGCTGAGAAGTTGAAGGTTGGCAGGCAGTATACCAGCTGTTGACTCCGACAAATGACGAATTGTTTGCTCACGAACAGTTGTAGGCAGCACAGCAGAATCCCGACCTACAGAAGAGAAGTCTTTTCCCAGGATGTCCACAAATATACTGCAAGCAGGCCACACCCCTAGGGAAACTCCCTTTCAGCACATTGGCTGCTCAAAACATATACATCTGATCCCATCATGGTAATAACCACATCACAACTGCTTAAACCACACAGAATTGTGGTCCAGCCAAGTTGACACACAACTCCAACTGTCACAGCAGCCAAATGCCTTAAGCACTACACCACCAGAACTCCTTATATGGGATCGTGCTGTTAACAACTCAATTTCTATCTCAGAGAGCTCACGCTAAAGATTTGCAGAATAAAATGTACATGTGGCTGTTAATCTGCAGTTGAACTTGGTTTATACCATTTCAAGATCCACCTCTGTGAAACACATATCTTTAGAAGTTTACTGATAAATTTTATTGGACAAGAAGTATTTTATATTGCCCCCCATTATTTTAGCATATGATTATTAGATCTTACTAATAAAATAGGAATTTTTATTAAGTAAATTTTCATTGTAATAAATTTATAATATATGAATACAAACACAAATACTGGTTTTAAATCTAGAAATTGAGAGTAGTATATTTTACTGTAATTAGTACAATATGGTTCTGAGAAATTTCAAGTTACTCTTAAACTGAATCTTGCTGCTCTGGTTAAGTATGGTTTTATAGAACTACATGACTGAGGATCAGTAGGATCCCTCGCTTCCTGACTCTGTGATCTTCAGTAAATTAATAAAGCCCTTCATGCATTATTATTCATCTGGAACATGGAGGTCATAAGAAGTGTCTGTATCACAGGAATATTGCAAAGATTAAATGAGTTAATACATGTAAAATGCTTAGAAAATGCCTGGAACATAGTAAGTGTTCAATGAATTTTAGCTGCCATAATAGCAAGTATTTGTCTCTTGCTTAGAGATTGAAAACATTCTATATTTACACTTGATGAACTGATAATAGCTAATAAATTTTATTCCACTGAAATTCAAGATCTTTTTCTCAATGTTCACATATTATCAAGGGACTGTTTCATTGAATTACTGCAGAGCTGTTTATTGAATCTGTGCCATAGAATATATTTATCAGATACTTTGGAGAACATAACCACTTTTCCCTCAAGAAACTTATTTTAAATGCTTAATATAAGACACTAGGAGAGATGGCATTAGTGGGTAGTTAAATGATGTCTAGATAGGGTAGATATAGTATTGGAAATTGGCTTATTTGGGCTCAGTGAATCTTACACTTTGTACCAAATTGTATAATAAGCACTTGCTTTTGTTCCTCAACAGGTTTCTGCATGTTTGTACTGAGCTTAGTAAAGAAACATTATCGTCTGCAGTTTTACATGGTATGTATCAACCATTATTCTTCAGCCATTATTGGAAATAAACACCTTTACTTTTAATTTCTTTCTGTGGTGAGAAAATAGCTCATCTGCTAGTTTATGTGCTATGTGAGTATGAGGGAGTTTTTATTTTAGGATCACCATTAAATACAGAACATTGAAGTTTAAAACTTTCACTTTATTTCAAAGTTTCCTCAAAACTTTTTTCTTTAAATACTTTCAAAGTCTAAAAAATTAAATGGAAATTAATTGGAGTCCTTGAATTTGTGGAAATATGAAGAGCTTTATAGCTCCCTAGCCACATTCTTCTATGTAAAGTAACTAGGCTGACTGGCTATTAGCATGAGCAGAAAGCAGAAAGCAGAGCATGCATTTTCTTGGTAGTTAGTCATAGAATTGCATAATTCTTTATGGCATAAGGTATTGGGGTTGGTGTAGACAAGTTACAATGCTTTATGAAATTTATTATTGCATATGATGTACATATTTCCTTAAAATGAAGCTAATCATAAGACTATACAATTATTTTTTTAATTATTACATCATTATTATTTATTTTGATCTATGAATTCCTGTTTAGTAAGACTTGTTTTAGATTTGGGCTGTGTTTCCTAGATTATATGCTTTGATTTTCTCCATCAGTACATCCTGCTGGGCATTATCACTGGAAAATTGTATTATTTCCTCCTTTTTCTAATTTCAGGGGGTCTAAAAGTAGAGTAAAATTCTTAGTGAAAATCTAGAATCAGGACAAATGAGAAATAATAGACTCTCTTGTGAAAATATCTATGATGCCGCCTGGAACAAAATCATTATGTATTTTCAAGCAACCATGATAAAAGAGAATTGGATCTTTCAAGCAGATAAAATAAAATAAAACAAAACAACAAATGTAGTATATTATTTGCTGAAATGGGAAACAGGTTTATTATCAACAAATCAAAATCTTTAATAATTTTGAAAAGTCACTTTTTAAAATTCCAGTCAAAATTATGGGACTAGTTCATGGAAATGTTAGTTTCTCTTTGTTCATGTTCTACTCTTAGTGATGATGCTAAAAGACACTAAGGTGGCCATCTTTCAGATTAGATGGGATTGGTGAAATGCAGAGTTCATTGAACATTTGAAATTAAATATTGTCATTGAACAGATCTGTGAAGATCAGCTTTCAGATGTAAAATGTGGAATTCAAGGACAATTGAACCTTGCAAGTTTGGATCATTTGAAATTAGGAAGAACTCTTTATGAGAAAAATTGCCATAATGGGTTCTGGGGAACAAAAAATAGTGTTTAGCGTTTTTAATAACTACAGAATGCAGCCAGAATAAAATGTACCTCTCCAAATGCCATAAAACAGCCTAAAATCCTCATTCTCCTTTTAACCTCATGATTGAAGATTATGATTTATTTTTTATGTTTTTTAAATTTAGTGATGTGCCTCAGTATTATTAGCTTGCCATTTGCATACAAATTAAAATTACCTTCTTAAATGTTTTCGTTACTTTAAGGTTCCAGTAGGCAATAAAATGAATATGATTTACTAACTACATTTATTTTGTATGACCTCATATTATAAATTTTTACCAGAAGTCATTTAAGAAATTTGTGTTTCAAATTTGCTATTGCTTCCTCAGCTGCACTGATGAGTTATGTTCACTAATTTTTGTGTTGTTGGGCTATTAACAGTTCGCATGGACTCATGTCACTTTACTGATAACTGTAACTCAGTCACATCTTGTCATCCAAAATCTGTTTGAAGGCATGATATGGTAAGGGGACAGTATTATGCTGTTTTATATTTATGGTGTCATAACACTTGAAAACTCTTAACATTGGATGGTATCTTTCAGATTGCTACCAAAACTTGCTATTTGTTGTCTCTCTGTTCTGTCAAAATATGTTACTGAGTTTTACTTACTCATTGGCAACTGAACACAAAATGGCTTCATTAACAACTAGAAATCTTTCTTACTCAGATTTTAAATCAAATTCCCAAACAATTAATTACATTTTTAGGTGCTGATAAATCTTAAGGTCACTTTTTACAAAGCATAGACTTTTAAAAGAAAGATATTGTTTACATGGAATCTAAAAGAATATGAAAGGTTGACAGTGTGCATTTTCTCTCACTGAAAGCTGGGTGGGTTCGATTCAGCTAGAATGGAAGAGTAGATTTCCAGATTTGAATATATGGAGTTGTTTGCTCTATAGCAGTGGCTTACAGAATCATGAAGCACTTTTTTTATTAGTGTTGTTTGGACTTGGTAAAGTAGAGGGTCAGCAAAAAAAGAGGAAGACCCGCAACAAGATGACTGGACACAGGCTGCAGCAGTGTTTCCTTCTGCTGTGCATGGGGCCGCTATGCATTGGAACTGACTTCATGGCACCTAACATAACAAAGCAACATAACATTGGTTTGCCTGGAGAAAAACCCTAAGATTTTAAAAAATTTGATTACATTTTCTCTACATTCCTTTTAGGAGCTCTGGTAGCGCAGTGCCTAAGGTATTTGACTGCTAACCAGAAGGCTAGTGGTTCAAACCCACCAGCCATTCCTTGGAAGGAGAATTGGACAATCTACTTCCGTAGTGATACTGCCTCGGCAACCCAAGGGGGCATCGCTATGAGTTGGATCTGACTCGATGGCACATAACAACACATTCCTTTTAAACCCATTAGATGGAATCTTTTACTGTTGATGTGTTCTCTCTGTACTACTTGTACAGAACCTACTAATATATTAACTGCACATTTTTAAATGTGCGCCAATTAAAAGTGTGTATATGATTCCAATCGTTTACACACACATACAGTTTTGGTTAAAAAAAGTCAAGCAGTCAGCAAGGGAATAAATTAATCTTGAGAAAACACATCAACTGTAAAATATTTCCTTTAATGGGTTTAAAAGAAATGTAGAGAAAATGTAATAATATTTTTTAAATCTTAAGCTTTTTCTCCAGGCTAACCAGTGTTATGTTGCCACGTTATGTTGTTGTTGTTGTGTGCCGTAAAGTTGGACCCGACTCATAGTGACCCCTCCTTGGGTTGCCAAGGCAGTATCACTACGGAAGTAGATTGCCCAACCTTCCTTCCAAGGAGTGGCTGGTGGGTTTGAACCGCCAGCCTTAGGTGCCATCAAGTCAGTTCCAACGCATAGCAACCCTATGCACAGCAGAAGGAAAGACTGCCTGGTCCTACATCATCCTCACAGTTGTTGCTATGTTTGAGCCTATAGCTTCAGCCTGTGTCAAGTCATCTTGTTGAGGGTCTTCTCTTGTTTTTTTGCTGACCCTTTACTTTACCAAGTCTAACCTGGTAGCCTAGTGCCTAAGGCATTTGACTGCTAACCAGAAGGCCGACAGTTCAAACCACCAGCCACTGCTCGGAAGGAAGACTGGGCAATCTATTTCCATAGAGATACCACTTCAGAAACCCAAGGACGGGTCGCTGTGAGTCAGAATCAATTTGACAGCAGTGAGTTTGGTTTTTGGTTTGTAGAAGTAGTGGGGTTCAATGAAGCCATCGGCAAAGAAAGAATTAAAATTGATCATTTTACTCGAGAGAGAAATTGTATTAAGAATTTAGTATAAATTTAGTATAAATTTATCAGATTATATTCAGTGTAAGCAAGTAACTCTTTTCCATTTTAAAAGGCTGCTTTTAGTAAGATAAACTTTCAACCTGGCTTTATTTTATATTTTATAGCTCACTCATAAAATTGGAATTTAAATATCCATAACTATAAAAGTTGACTGTTTAATATTTTACTTAGCAGTATTCTCCCTGATATTAGATTATTTGTAGGCTTTGTTCTGCTTAATTGCTAAATGGGCAAATTTGGGTAATATTTATTTATTGTTTCCACTAGTGTTTTGGCAAGTATTTTGTTGTGGATTAGACCACCATGTAATTCAAAGGATTATCACACTGGTTCATTATGAGTCATAACCTATATGAATATTTACCACTTAATCATATGGATTGATGGACTTTTTCTGCTGCTTTTTTTTTCTTTTAAAGGTTCCTTGTTCCAATTTCAAGTGTTATCTGCAATGACATAACTGCTTACCTTTTTGGATTTTTTTTTGGGAGAACTCCATTAATTAAGGTAAAGGAAAATATTACAAAGATACCACTACCATGACCTTAAAGATTAGCTACTGGAGAAAACTTTTCAGTAATTTGATATTATTGCACCTTTTTTTTTTTTTATTTCCAAGGTACCATGATTTTCCTTAGTGCCATAGTATAGGGGCACTGAGCTGTATTTTCCAATGATTCCAACTGGGTTGTTTACTAGATATTCTTTTGGCTCCTTAGAATAGGACTTGACTCAATTAATTTCTCTCTCTCACTCTCTTGAAGGTTCATTCCATCTTTTTGTTGGTTTCTTTTCCTTAGCCATTGCGGAGTTCTCCTCTATCCCTCTCCCCTACACCCTATAAACAAGCCTTTTCTTGACCCCATTCTCTCCTCAAGCTGTCTCCTCATCTCTTCCTCTTCTGACAGATTTTTGAAATGTGATTTGTACAATTTTCACATTCGCAAGTCCCATTAGTAGCCTTTTATACCCAAACTCATGCCCCCCCCCAAAAAAATAATGAGTTCCTACAATAAAATATTGATAATATGCAAGTAATAATGAAAAGTAAGGAGCTCTGGTGGTGTAGTGCCTAAGGCATTTTACTGCTGAGAGAGAAAAATTATGCAATCAAGACTTTATTTGTTGTTTTGCCTTCTATGTAGTTTGGTTTATGGTCAATGAAGACAGAAGGAAATAAATTAAGTTACACAATACTTTTATTAGGAAAAAAGACAAAGCATATTGTTTTCTAGAACTAATTTCTTAATAGAAAACTTCTTATATCAGGATTCCAGGTAGAGTTTACTTAGTCCACATAGTAGTCAAAGTCCTTGAAATATTCCCACAAATAATATATTAATTGGCTATTTCAGTGTTATCATATGAAGGTTAGTTTTGAAGGGGCTGAGACAGTTCAGATGTAGAACTTTCTGGCTGTTCCAAGTGATATGAGGGTAGCTGAATATTCCCAAAAGAATGCATAGAAAGCCTATCCTCCAAAAAACCACAAACTTCCCCATCTGGGAGTCCAGGATATAGCATTAGGCTGCATTGTAGGGATACTGGCAAGCAAGCTATATATTTCAAAGTGTACTAAACATTCTGTAGCACGAGAGCAACTAATTAAGTACTCAAAAATTCTAAATTGGCTGGAAAATATAAGCTTAGGAAACCTTCAGTGAGGCTTTTAATAGCTATGGACGATCTCAGTGTCTTTCTAGTGAATTTATCAGGCTGGATTAATTATGTAATAATTTCCAGTTGCCATCAAGTCAATTCCAACTCATGGCAACACTATGTGTACCCAGATCTAATTAAGCAAGTTAACCACTAAGTCAATACGATATGAATGAATTTAATTTGATAAGCTATCTATAAAATAGTCAGCAGGCATTTTTGAGTTTGAATCCAAGCCTACTTCATGGCAATAAGTCCAAAGTATCCGAGAAGAAGGTTTGTTTATCCCTTCTCTATGGCAGAATTATTACAAGATTTGTCAAGAAACCACTTCTGCCAATCCTCCTGGCTTTGGGCTTTATGACCACTAGGACAGGAGGTCTATAAAGAGCATATGTAGCTTAGCCTATAATTGGTTTCAGTCTTTAAAAACTTGCCTCAGATATTTGGCTTCTGTCTCTATTGTTCCACTGAAATGGTCATCACAGAGGTCACCAGTGGTTACTAGTATCCCACGCACATCTCAGTCCTTATCTTAATGACATCTTTGGAGTATTTAGCACTAAACACTCATAAACCTTGTCCTCTGACCCTTGCATCACTAGGTTCCAGACTGTCCTCCCTGGTTGCCCTACTGACGGGAGGCACAGTAACCTGAATCTGAAATAGTATCTACTCATACAAGCATAACATGTTCTTTCTTCATGGAGACAGACAGACATTGTGACCAAAGGCAGAAGGATATGTGAATAACTGTAGAGAAAATAAAATATTTGGGGACTATGGAGTATTTACCAAACAGAAAGAAAACTGTTGTTTGTAAAATGTATTGGGAATACATGAAAATCAGATGTGCTATAGTGTCCATGTTTTGTTGTAGTTACTGGATTTTTAGTCTGTTGTGGGTCGACATAGACTGTGTGTACTTGCGATGAATATCATTCCATTGAGGGGGAGTTATATCAGCATAAAAGCCATGAGACTATTATTTCAGCATAGACTTTATTGTCCTTAGAAAAAGAAAATACATTGAGCCTGTCTGACAGAAACAGATGGACATCTATAGCTTGTCAAATGTTTGGGGGCCTACTGTGTGTCAGATACTCTTAGAGGGATTGGAACAAGTAAGTCAGGATCATGTAATGAAGGAAACAAGATTACAAAGCTATTTCAGTAAGAAAAAAGGAAGGAGAAATGGACAAATAATTCGGGGAACTCCTTGAACAGAATTTGCATATATATGTGTGTGTTTGTTGAGTGCAATAACTCTAATTTTATTTGGTCTTTTTAGTTGTCTCCTAAAAAGACATGGGAAGGATTCATTGGTGGTTTCTTTTCCACAGTCGTATTTGGATTCATTGTGAGTTTTACAAAGATTTTCATTTTATTTATATTTTAAAGACTGGTAGTAAGCTTGTCTATTCTAAACCTAACATACTTAAAGTGCAAAATACTAATTATGTATTTATTGAAATATACTAAGCAGAACCCATTCTGCACCCCAGTAACACTCATTCTAACTGCCCATCAGAGTCATATAGGGAGCTTAGACGAAATCTGTGCCCTAGGCCTATCTCAGACCAACTAACTCCCTTGGTGATTTGGCTCAGTCTGGCTCAGCCAGGCTTGAGCCCTGACGCTGAGCTGTTGTGTCTTGGAAGTTTCTTACAGCATTCTGCCTAGTGGAGACACAGCTGCTGGGACAGGTGAGGGCTTTGAGTAGAAGCAGAAAATGTGAATAATGTGGACAAACTCTGCTTTTTTTTTTTTTTTTAAACACATGGCTACTTGGCTGAGTGGGTGGTTACTGCTGTGAGCCCAACATTGGGAGCAGTCTGCTAATTATAAATAATTAACATTCCATTTTAGCCATGAATAATGGACATTGTAAATGCTATTAAAATTAGTTTACAGTTATGGAATTTAGGCTTTTATTAGAAGGTGCCTATGTCCGCATTGATACCACCCTGGAAACCCAAGGAGGGGTCGCTGTGAGTCAAGTCTGACTCTATGGCATATAACAACAACAACAACAATTGAGAGTCAACAAGGAGCTCTGGTAGCGTAGTGCCTAAGGCATTTGACTGCTAACCAGAAAGTTGGCGGTTCGAACCTACCAGCCACTTATCGGGAGGAAGACTGGGCAATCTACTTCCGTAAAGATACTGCCTCAGAAACCAAAGGAGGGGTCACTGTGAGTCAGAATCGACTTGACAGCAGTGTGTTTGGTTTATTGAAAGTCAAATAGGGTACAATAGATGACTGGGTATGATAGACAAATATATTTCTGTTAAGAAATGTAAATTTTTATGAGTCTAATGCCTTAAAGTTCTATTTCTACTCTTTTTTTTTTAACTTCAGAAGCACTTATTTTTATTTTTATTTTTTATTGTGATTTGGGTGAAGATTTACAAAGCAAATTCACTTTCCTTACAGCAGTTCACATATACTTTGTCTCATGACATTGACCAGAGTTTACCACAATGTAACAGCTCCCCTCCCACTTCCTCCCTATCGTTACCTCTTCCCCATGTCCATCCCCCCATGGACTACTGCCCCCTGAGCTGTCTCCCTGTGCATAAGCAACCCTTCTTTCTCCCATGATTGTTCTCTCCAAGGAGAGTATCTACTTGAGGTAAATGTTCAACTCATATGCCTGTCTTGTGTTTGGCTGGAAACCACAAGTGTGGGTTCAATTCCAGAACTGAAGGGCAGCTAGGGGCCATAGTCTCAGTGGTTCCACCAGGCTCAATGGGACCAGCAAACCTGGTCCCCCCACCTATTTTTTTTCCCTCCAAATGTCTATCTCTACTCTTAGCCAAACAGAGAATAACTAGAAATAACAAGAAGCTTTGAGAGGATTTCCGGCAAGATGGCGGACTAGGCAGAAGGATTGCAAAGACCCTCTTCAACAAAGA